CTGATTGAATTATTTCTTAGCCACTGTAAAATTAATTTGTCATCTGTCATTAGCTCATATAACCTTAAAAATGAATTTCCATAACTAAATTTTTTACACGTCAATTAAGTACTTTTTATCATCCAAAAGAATGAACTTGAGTTCTCTAACCATAATACTTCACACTTACATAAGGGATATTGGTTTCATTTGTTAGTCTCTAAGGTGCCACAAGAACTCCTTGTTGTTTTTGATAAGGGATATTGAATCACTGAAAATATCTAATTATTTCTCCCAAAATTCCTGTGCGGCACAGAAGTATTATCTGCATTTTACAGACGGAGAAACTGGTTTAGAGAGGCTAAATAATTGTTCAAACAGAAAGTCAAGTTTAGAATCAAGTTTAGAACTCAGATTACAGATTACTCAACCATTTGCTCATTCCCATCTTTGGTTATAATCATATTGTTTATTCTGTTTCTTCCCCAATTCTTCAGAGTGAACAGAAAACTGATCAAAAGAATGAGACTCTGGCCTTACTACTTCCTATTTAGTGCCAGACCAACAAATTCAAGACACGAGTGCTATTCCCAACTCTAACTCATTAAGCCTAGATGTTGTAAAACAGGACAAGAAATTAGCCACTATTCTGAGGCACCTTAAATATCTAGAGACCACAGGGAAAGGCGGAAGTCTGGGGACCCCACGGGTGCTGGGGGGGGGGGCGGAAGGGGGGAAGTCTGGGGGCACCACAGGTGCTGGGCGGGGAGGCGGGCCGCAGCACATGGCCTGGGATTCCTGCTGGTGCTGGGGGTTGACAGGGCTGGCAGACTCACTACCCAGCTCCACGCAGCTTCCTGGAAGCGGACGGCATGTCCCTGCTGCTCCTAGGCCCACAGCATTTGTGCAGGCAGTGAGCCAAATTCTGCTATAAATCCAAAATATGTTCACTGGAGTGAACTCTTCTGGTCTAGTCAATGAAATACATTGCTTTTAGAAGTACAGTACTTTCTTTTAACATAAGTAATGCATGTCTGTCCATTTCATTTTTTTGTTATTGAACATATATTTATTAGGATATGATATCAAAACTGCATGTGTGTTTGGAATCACTAGTCAGACTTAACTGGCCACCTGTTTACATACTGAATTTGCTCATCTCACTCAATGCACACACTTTAAAAAAAAAAAAAAGTTTAAGCTGTTGTCACTGCCAAGAGATCCTGAAATGGTTTCTGATTGAATAGATATAATATGATAGTTTTGTGTCAAAATAAGTATATCTACTGGTGAGCTTTTGTTTAATGTTAATTAATTTGAAGTGGAAGTTCAATTATCAATTTTTTTCTCTTAAGAGGCAGAAGGTAGAGTATATTTTGTTGCAATACAGCATAGGTGAAAATGAGGTCCAGGTCCCATATTTTTTCCTTGGTAAACTTTAAAAGGTACTTACTTTGTTCATGTTCTCATGTTTCTTGGCATTGATTGAGCACAGTACATAACCTTCTTGAACTTTCTTCCCCCCCAGGATTCTCTTTCAAGCTGCCAGTGGCAAAAAAAGTAGCATTTGGTAATTTTCTGAACCCCTATTTTAATCTTCTGTAGGCACACTTGACCTTCCCTGGTCTTTAAAAGGCCATCTCTTGACTTGCCACCGCCATAGTTAGTGTTACCGTACAAAAGGAGATCCAGAGATTAAAAATGGGAGTGTCAACATCGGAATGCAGGAAAGTGCTTCTCCCATCCTATGCTAGGAAGCCTCGGGAGGAGGCATAATGATGTACAGTATAAGTTTTTAAATTTAGTTTATCCATAAGTCCACATTTGGTTCATATGAATCTTGAATTACAATAAATGTCATTGACCCAGTTCTCTGCACGTGAGTCACTGACTCCTTTATGAAAGAAACCTCTGACTGCTAGTAGCTGGATAAAAGGGGATGATCGTTCAATAAATTTCCCTGTTCTGTTCATTCCCTCTCAGTGGTTGGTGCTGATGTTTGTCGGAAGACAGCATACTGGGCTAGATGGACAATTGGTCTGACCCAATATGGCTATTCTCATGTTCTTATTCTTTCAGAAGAAAAAGAGGAATTTATTTTTTTTGTTCCAAGATGATGCTTTTAAGGTGCATATTAATAAGTGTAGTGGATATTCCAATATGGATACTATTGACTATTTCCATAAGGAGTGCTGGTGGTGGTGGAGTTAAGTCATAGTTGTCAAACACCTGCTCTGCATAGTTGATCTAGTGCTCCTGACATATCTATGTGGCCTGCATGATCTATTCAGAATCTACTGAAACATAATTTAAAAAAAAATTCTAGACATCATGGTTATAAAGTTAACCCTCTAACTGCAAAGTGAGTAACTGATGTGATAATTTCATAAGTCTGTGGACAGCCTGAAACAATAGATTTCAGGTATGAATTCCTTCACGCCAATTAATCTAATGGGAATATTAACTCCAGAGACAAATACTGACACAAATATAAATATTTAACAATTTTATTGACGATCACTTAATCAGATGAGCTGGGGATGATGAAGACCACACATGAATGGAAATTGGGAGCTACTGCACAGGAAAGAAAATAGAAGAGGGCTATAAACAGAGAAAACAGGATGGGGAAAGAAGAAAAACGTAGAAATTCACTCTATAAAAGGTAGAAATAATGGTGGTCCTAAATGTGAACATTTACCTACTCTGAGATGTTGACTTGTGAGTTAATAACAAAGTTTAATTTACTACAACCAGGCCCTTTTCCCTGCACAAACAGTGCACCTCAACCTTTGTGCAAGTTTACCACTGATATCAGGGGCAGAAGTGGACGGAAAGAGAAATAGGAGGGTGATTGCTATGGACTGAAGGGAATGTACAGTCCTAATTTTTTTAACCCTGGTCTATGAATTAAAAATAGAATTCAGCTGTCTTCAAAAATAAGTTTAACATTAGCAGGTTAAGGGATAAAACTGTATTCACTATGTAACCCTCATACTCCACTCAACTGGTCATCAGGAGCCCAAGTGCTGTCCAAGTGAAACCAGAGGGCAGCCATCCTCAGCAGAGAACAGCCCCAATGTGTAATGAGCATAGCAAAGACTACAACCCCAGTATGTAACACCCCATCTTAATCCTAAAGGTCTAGTGGTCAAACCCTGGCCTGCAGGGTTCCTATAGCTGCCACTTTGGACATGGCACATTCCAGGCTGGGTGGGCCCTGTAGTCTCTCCATAGGCCACCATCAAAGAGAAATGGGCAGGAGATCAAAGGCCACACAGAAGAGCTAGAGGAGGCTTTCCTATCACCACTGTATTGTGACCCCTGCTGCCAGCCAGTCACCAGTTGGCATAGTTGGAAGCCTATTAAAATTGATGCCAGGCCCAAGTCTTTGACTACGCCAGAGGCAGTGCCTGAGCGCTCCTAGTCCCCCAGGCAGGGGCAGTTCTGGGGCCATTAATGGTGAACTTTTAGGAAAGGGGAGTTGCCTTCCTAGGTCTGAGAAATAAAAACCTGAAATTCACTAGAATAAACAGACCCCTCCCCGCAAGACACTTCCGCTCCGGGCGCCCCCTGGCCCGCCACAGCTTCCCCCTCCCCACTGCCCCGCCGCATCCTTATTCTCCCCCGAACTCCTCCCCCGGTTTGCCCCAGACTGACCTCTGCTGCCGTCCTGGCTGCTGCCCAGAGCAGCCTGGCGC